TCACCCCAAATCGAGCGCAAGTTTGGTCCGGGGATGGGTCTAAAACAGACGGAATCCGGACATTTGTCCGTTTGAGGCCGTGCGCTGGAATTTTTTTGAGCTAAATGACCCTGAAATTGAAAAGCACTTCAAATGAACTCTGAAAAGGTTGAAAGTTGGCATGGTATCATCATTTCACCCACATAGCATGTGCAAAAAAGTTGAGAGAGTTACGGCAAAAACTGGATGCACTTCGTGTACAAAATGGACAATCTCTTTCGAAGTATCAGGGTTTCGGAGCAAAACTCATCTATTACAAAGAGATTTCATTTTTATGAACTAATTTGAACTCCAAACTTTTTTTGTGTTCAAAATGCACCATTCAAAGACACATAATCAATTTTCAACCCTTTCTGACCTTATTTGGTATTTTTCATGCATCTAGTTCATTTTTTGAGTTAAATGACCCTGAAATTGAAAACCACTTCAAATGAACTCTGAAAAAGTTGAAAGTTGGCATGTATCATCATTTCACCCACATAACATGTGCTAAAAAGTTGAGAGGGTTACGACAAAAACTTGATGCACTTTGTATATAAAATTGGGTGCATTTCGTGTACAAAATGGACAATCTGCTACAAAAGGCATTTCATTTCTTCACATGTAACTGCAGTGATATTCTAGATCAGAGGCATCGTCATAATAGTTGTGGAGAGAAAGTCTTCACTTTTTCTTCGCTTGTGTACTTTGCTTATTGCGGCGTGACCATGGATAATGTTCATCGTTTAACAGGGTGCTTGGGTTAGCCTTGACTTTGGAGGGAGGAATTTCATGAAACTTTTCATAATCTTCAGACATGTCTGTCTTGCCCTCCACTCCCACGATGTCTCTTTCTCCTAAAAGAACTATGTGGCGCTTTGTCTCATTATATGATGTATTCACGATGTCTCAGATTTTTCCTCGAAGCGATGCTCATATTTGCTGGAATGGGCAAGCGACATGCTGCAATGGTGAGGGATGTGAGCGACGAGCTGCGACTAACGGACATGAGTGGCGGCGAGCCGGCCGGTGAGCTGCAGCCGTCTCCATTGGAGCTCCAACTGTCACACCTAGAGCTGCAACCCACATGTTGCATGGGTGGCGAACGACAATGAGGACGGCCATTGAGGGCGGGAACTACGAGGATGGCTAGCGGGGGAGGCAAACAGCGAACGGTGACAAGGACGTTCGGTGGGGGCTGCCTTTCACAAACTTAGGGCTGCCCATGGGGACAACTCGCCCCACAGTGACTGATCTGATGCCCATGGTCACGGCAGTGCAGAGAAAAATTCCAGCAGCGGTCTCCTTGCTTGACTACGGCTCCAAGCTGACATTGCTAAACTCCGTTGTGACTTTGCTAGCGATCTACGCAATGTGCTCGGTCAAGCTAAACCCCAAGATCATTGAACATCTTGATAAACTATGTAGATCTTGCCTGTGGCTAAAGAAAACTGATGATGGCACTAAGGGTAACTCTCTGGTAGCGTGGGACCTGCTATGCAGACCGAAAAACAGAGGAGGGCAGGGGATAATAAACCTCAAAATTCAGAACCAGGGACTCCTATTGAAACAGCTCCACAAAATTTACAATAAACAGGATGTCCTCTGGGTTGAGCTGGTTTGGCGTTCGTACTACAATGGTCAAACCCCACATGCGACTGACATTTGTGGCTCGTTTTGGTGGAGAGACCTCATGCAATTGTTTGATGTCTACAGGGGGGTTATGAGAGCATCTGTGGTGGCAGGAGACACGGTACTCTTCTGGAAAGATGAGTGGAAGGATACATTGTTCCAAGAAACATTCCCGCGGGCCTTTTCTTTTGCCAAGGAACTAGACGTATCGGTTAGATCTTTGCTGTCCTATGAGAGATTGGGTGAAGTATTCCACCTACCCCTCTCGGTTGAAGCTCGCCTGGAAGTGCTTGAATTGCAACAGGTCACATCTGATGTTGCACTGGCTGAAGGAGTGGATACCTGGAAATGTGTTTGGGGTGGAGATGGTTTTCAAGCAACCAAATTCTATGAACATTGCTTCAGAAACATGCAGGTGGACGAGGCCTTCTGTTGGGTATGGAAAACAATATGCACAATGCAATGGAAGATGTTTGCCTGGCTATTACTGGCTGATCAACTAAATACCAGAAACATGCTAAGAAGGAGGCACTACAAAATCCAAAACGATGACTATACATTTCTGCTGTGTCAGAATCCCTCGGAAGAAGACGTTGCCCATCTCTTCTTCAACTGCCCCTTCGGTCAGAGATGCTGGGATGCCAAGGGATCCAGTGGCCAGTTCGCGACTACAGGCTCACGTTGTTGCATGCTAGCAAAAACTCTTGGAATAGGCCCATGTTCGTGGAGGTTTTCACGGTGGCCGCATGGGGTATTTGGAAGGAAAGGAACGACAAACATTTCAGAGGGATCTAGCCAAACTTCGGGTCTTGGAAGGCTAGGTTCAAGAATGACTTTGCTATGCTAGTCCACAGGGCTAAACAGGAGTTTGCCCCCATACATCTTATCTCTAGTTGCTGCTTTG